TAGCACTTGTAGTCGTATAATTTGTGTTTGGGTGGCGTTCAACGTTTGTAACGTCCATTCACCCTGAAGAAGGCTGGTCTATCCTGTCGAAATATAGGTGTAAAGGGAAAAAATGTGTGTCATCTTCATTTGTGACTGAGTATACGTGTATTGAAGGGGATAAAGCTGGAAATGTTTTTATGGTGAGAGTGAAGCATTGCACACATGAAAGATTACTACAAAGCAGTCATGACGGGCACCACTACAACTGGCTGAATACATCAATGAGTACATCAATGGCCTTTTTGGTAAATAACCTATTACCCTCACAGGCCATCACAGCCGGTTCAAACATATGATGTAACCAGAGTTTACTTGCATGTTCATCCTTCACGTGCATATTATATACGAATTCAGAAGTTGACCAGCTCCAAGTTAGCCTTTGAACAGGCTCCGGCTGGAAGACCCCTTCCTGGAAGGGTCTGAGAAGGAATCAGCTGAGAGTGAAGTGGCCGAGGGGGAATGGGGTCGGGCTATCCTCTTTCCTCCCTCTTTCTCTTCGCCTTATCCTCGACCAGAGAGCCTGTTCACAAGTTAGTAGCCCTGAGTCGGCTTGATAGCCCACTTGCTGCTGAGTAGCACTTACTACGTACACCGGGGTAGTAGGAGTAAAGAACTAACTGATTCGAATCTCGTTCGAGCAGCCTGGAGTTCTGTTCAGGCATTTTTTTTTTTTTTCAGGATGTTCAGGCATCCATTTTCACCTGACTGCTTACTTCCGTACATAACTGTGATTTGGGTTTTTTATTTTACTTATACTTTTTACTTACAACACTTTCTGTACATACACCCACTTTCCCCAGATTTTACCCACTGTTTCAGTAGAGATTTGGGAACCCTTTTTACTAGGCAATCCCATACTTTGATTTCACACCTTAAAAAGGCCACAAAGGGTGCTTGCTGTATCTACTGCCTTATAAAAGAAGTTTTTTTTTTTTATCCTGTATTCAATGAGCAGTTAATGTGATATCAATACTCTTTGTTGTTGAGTCTGAGGGCAAAGTCCATATTGAAATGAAGCTCTTTATTGAGCAGTGCTTTACAGTGATACTGTTATTAATCTTTGCAAGGTGGTTTAACTTCCAATTGCTGAAATTTTAACACTAGAAATGTGATTAACCTAAAACAAACTCGGCCTTATCTACGATATTTACATTCAGCGGTTTCTACTTTGCAAAATGTTCACCAACACTGAAATAGGTGTTCTTCTCAACTAAAGTGAGTCCTAAACTCTTAATTAAGTCGCCTTTGCGTTTCTTTTTAATGACGAAAATTAGTTATGCCAATACTGCGGTCAGTTCCTATTTGTTCTCGCAATGACACAATCAGTTTTCATTTAAATAACGCCTCTTTAGTCTGACAAATTTGCCTTTGAAAGGCTATTGTTATTTTTAAGAGCTAAATGATCTGTAAATAAATTTCAAATTTTTGTAAGTAAAATCCACCGACAGATATTTGCCTGTTGAGCAGGTAGTTAAACTGTGTTTAGACGTCCGGTTAGTCTGAACATAGTTAGTAGAGGTCTAACTATGGTCTGAACTCTGAATAAAGAACGTTATGAAAGCGCAGTTTTCCGTACTTCAGCTGAATTTTCTTGTCATTGTTTCGGCACCGTCCTTCTTACAGGTGACTTTCTATGTGGCGTGTCTTTTGAAAGAAAAGTCACCAGTTGTCACACGAGCTGAAGTAACTCGTTTACGAATTCGCGTATTTCAGTTGCATACATTTTTAATACAATTAAGTTCCAACGAATCTCTTTTTTTTTCTACTTAAGTCTCTCTACTTTCGCCGAGTTGTGAATCGCGCAATGCGATTTTATTTTAAAACATGCACTGAGCTATAATTGGTATATAGCGCCCCTTTCTTTAAGCGTCGCCTGGTAATTCAGACTGCCGTGAAAAATCTTGACTTTGCTATCACAACTTTACTCAGCTTGCAACTGTTAGTTGAGCAAAGTGTTACTTAATACATGTTGCACTATTTTAGCGGAACCAATTGGTTGTAAAAAATATGTATCAATTTATCGCACATTACTTATACGGTTAGAGGTCATATCTTGTTGATTCCTTGAGGGTAATTCTATACAATTCAGTATCTAGTTCTTTCAGCTGAGAGGAATAAAATTCCGCTCTCCAAGGTAACTAAACGTGTTATTTTCTACACAGTAAAGACATTTGAACGACGGAAATGTGATATTTGCGAGTTGTAAGTATGACATGTACATAAACTGGCATAAATTAATACATCGAAAAAATTTGCAAAGTTCCTTTAAATATAAGTCTACAGTCTGGCACGTATAATAACCGGATTAAGGCATTTTAAGGCAAAGAAGGGGCTGATAATCCTAGTTACATAAAGACGTATTGTTAGTTATCGTTTAACCTCACTAGGCACGTGAAAAAAGATCAATCTATACTACTTGACTTACTGTATGTCTGCATTCTGTGGAAGTGCCTGCTGTTGTTTTCTCTCGCGAGCTGTATGGCACAGATGTACCGTTGTTTCGTCTTCGGTCCTCAAGCTCCTTTAGTTTAGTGGCCATAGATGTGGGGGTGTCTTGTTTGGCAGATGGGCTGCTAATGCGGCCAATTCGAAGCTTGTCTCAACTCCGACAGGAGAGATTCTGTGGAGAAAGGCGATTTAAATGGCTTCTTCACCTGCAGTTGTGGTTAGAACTAAGGTTCGTAAGTTTGTGGATAACTCAGGCATGGTGTAGACCTCGGATGACAGCTGGAAATAGCTGAAGTGATGCTCTGCATTGTACGGCTGCATCTTTTTCATCCAACTGCTCAAGACGTGTGTTTCTAGAAAGTGGCAACTGAAAGGTGCTGAGCTACCTTTTTTATTTCTTATTTGGAATAAATTATTTTCAGTTGTATATGTTATGACCAAGCGGGTGTGTCTATTAAGAACACTTCGTTACTATAGAAAACATAGAGAGAACATTTCGGAATTCGGACGGTGAGAAATTGGCCGGTACTTCTTACAACCCAGAACTTGAATTGTCGGTTGTTACATCATACGTTTAAGCTTACGTTCTCAAAACAGAGATCTTGAAATTGCTGCAACACCTAGGGACCCTGCAGAAATAAGCGGTACTAATTAACAAAAATACCAATCCCCTTTGATTTTAGCTTCTCACAGTGGAGTCAATACTGAAGTCAAGCAAACGGGGAGTCATGCAGGAAAAAATGCTGATTCCGATAAAATCGGAATAGTCTTATGTTATTGCCAAATTCTCTTCGTCGCCACCAGCCATTGAGCAAAACCATTAAGGAGAATTGACAGAAGAAGGATGATATTTCTAAGAGGCTCTTCATATGAGTCCGGTAACCCGAGCCTGGCTCCGGCGGTTACTGAAGCGAATTTTCTTGTCTGTTCACATGAGAAATTTCAGCCCGGTCGACAAACAAAACCAAACTGGTGGGACACAAACTCGTTCGCGATTATCGTAACCGAGCCAGCCGGGTCGGGTTACCGGGCTCATATGGTTGGAAAAGTAACCCCAGTACCCAACAAAACTTTTCTTCTTCAAGAACACCAAAAACACTTCACTTTGCCCAAGTTCAATTCTTCAGTGTGAAAACAATGTTTATTGAATTTAGGATCTGCGAATTTCACTAGCACCGATGCATTCAAGTTGTTTGTGAGTTTCCCCCTTCATAAATCTAAACAACAGACAGGTAAAGAGGCCCAGAGCACAATTCTCGTAGAAGTCGAAAGGTTTATTTTCCTAGGCAACCTCATGACAAGAAAATGTTTGCGGAGACCTAGAGTGAGACTGACACCTTCTTCAGCTTAAACTTTGTAAAACAATATTTCCATGATAGATATTGTTTGTTCAATTTATACGTTATACGTTAAGTTATGCCCGATACGTACACGTCTATTAATGGTGCTTTCTTATACGCAACTTGGAGAAAACCATTAATATTAAAAATAAGAAATGAACCGCGGGTATTGACGAAAAGTTATGTTCAGTTTAGACTAATTAATTATAATTTATTTATTCATGGTGCACGTGAATTTTATTTATGCGGCAAAATCGCCTGATTGTAAGCCTGGATAGCGGGTGACATCAATTTTATCAGGTCTAGCTTTTCGAGCTGTCGTTTCGATGACATTTCTTTGGATTTTTCTGTAAGCAATTGATGACGTTATATTTCTTTAGAGTGTTGTCATATGATTTTGCATCGGCTCGTCTTTTTAAAATCTTCTTTTCTCTGCTTCTCTCTCATTCAGACAGATTTAACGCGCCACTGATCATAAGGTGTTACCTGCTATTTTGGGGGCAGCCACCCATTTCATCTGTTTATTTCTATTAAGACTGGTTAATAAAAGCAACCAGTGATCGAGACCCAAATGTTCCGCTTTTTGCATGCCTAACCAGCGTCAACTTTTTCCATCTCTTGGCGCGATATCGATCAAAATGTATCCAAGTTTTACGACTATAATAACCTTTTCGATCTGTTTGACCATAGTTAGTCCTAACTATGGTTTGACGTGTGACCTACAAAAGGGACTTGAGCATATCACTATGGCAACGACAACGTGGAGGTCACCAAACAAATTAAAAGCTTAATGAGCCTCGACTTTGCGTGCACGTACGTTGTAATCTTTTCACATTTCGTAGCCGTCCATTCTGGATCAGTCTGCAAAACTCGGCAACAACTTGAAATGATCATATCAAGTCTGGGCATTTCGGATAATGTGAAATATGACGGCTAATTTTTTGTGCTTCCCTTTGGAATTGATCGCTGGCTTACATATTTAGTTTGAGCAGGGTTTCAGACCGATAGGCATACTGAACTAGATCTGGTAAATTCTAACATAAAATTTAAGAAAAAGAAAATACATAATACGGTTGTAAATAAATACTGTAGATTAAAACTTTTCAAACCCAAGTTAAATTTTTTCTGGTTACCAACAACAACATCTCATTCATAAAAATTAAGAACCTAAAAGAACCTACGTAGCCTAAATTGCCAATGAATAATATAAGTACCTTTTGTGACAGACTTCAAAAACTGTAGGTTCATACACTCGGGCTTTTCTTCTGTCACGTGTAGAAATCGAGAGAGAATAATCTAATTGTTTTAGTATGAATCTACTAGTCGTTCAGAAAATGTAAGGAAGCGGCCGCCATTTTGTTGACAACCGCTCACCGTTAGGCTATCTACAACAGGATAGATAGTAAGCAACGAAGCCAATCAGAGAACAGCATTCGTGATAGACCGCTAGTAGATTTATACTAAACGAAAAGAGTCTGGCGCAGTTTTTGTGTTTCCTGAGACGAAATAACATACACAAAATGTCTTTTCCCCAAGGTGAGCGCCTAAGCGAGTACGCCGATCGAAAGGTACTGCGAAAAATAGACAAACTGAAACTGCTGAAAGAAAATGATGTGGAGGACGAGCTATGAGCCCAATGGAGAGTACCGCCAGGAACCAGCGACCACAAGAACTCTTGGAGACGTGACCTGCACTGAGACAAGTCAGAAGAATTCGTCATCTATCTCCTTGTTGGTTCTCTTCGGTTTACTATTGCTGTCGTTTCGATATAACAAAAAGTTTCGATATCGATAACTGGTGTATTAAGAAGTATTTCTGCAATGCAATTGTTCACGGCATTTACTCGTCAAACATGGTAGTGTTTAATGGTCAAGTATAAACGGACTTGATTTTATTTACCTCAGTGAATAATGAGGGTGATTTATGTGTGAAAAGGTATACTCAGCTAAATGAACTTCTTATCCCGTTTCTGTGAGTCACACTGGACAACAATTAACTAATTTCGAAATTCGCCTGGAACAATTTCTTCTTCTGAAATTCATGATCAGCAATCAAGGGCAGCTGGTTTCCGTCTGTATGTTCGCACCTGGTTCCTTCTGATGTCTAACTTTGGTCCTCTGTTGTTCAATTAGCTGCTTCCTCCATTTAATTCTTCGATTTTGAAACCAAACTTTGACTTGCGTCTCAGTCAAACCCAACTCTTTGGAGAGATAGAACCGCTGACCTCCCACCATGTACTGTTGGCGCGTAAACTCTCGTTCCAGGCGCTCGAGTTGCTCGACGGTAAAGATGGTACGCATGCGCTTTGGCTTCTCGCTGGACCAGTCTGTTTCTTCGCCGCGTGCAAGGAAAGTTCCTGTAGCGCGAATCAAGAAAAGCAATTAAACAAAATCTAATCATTCAATTGCAAATTGATTATTAACGCACGCAGGAAGGGAAACATCCTATCAATAAACACAATTCAATTAGTAGCGCATTAGATTTGTTTAACAAAACCTTAGATTGCACCGAAACTGGCAACGCATAACAAAACAGTGTTTCCAAGGCGGCTCACTGTCCAAGCAGTATCAAATATGTATAAACCGATAAATGACAGCTCTTTGAAACGATGATTAAATTCTAATTTCATCACTTGATTACCAACACCGTTGACCGAAATTATGTGATTTTTTTGTTTTTCGTTTTTACTGTCTTTGATTTTAAAAGCTTGAATTTGAAATTTCCTTCGCTTTACAAAAGCATAGCTTGGCTAAATTTATGAAAATGACGGTAGAACTTATTAACGAAGTGGCAAAATAGATCCTGCCAAACTGTAAGAGGAAAACGTTTAGAAAAATAAACTTATGATTCAAACTTGTTTTCTTTCCCTAACACAGGGACTCAGTTTTCTAAAAATGGAGTTGAAACTACTGTTAATGTGTTCGATCTCTTATTCCAAAATTTGCGAGCCTTGATTTTGCAGCTTTCCACATTTCTACAGTATTCTGGCTATAGACAAAGGATTCCTCAATATTTTAAACAAAGAAAAAACACTGCAAAAAAATCATTTTGATATGTGGCTTTGTCTCTGGCTAATCGAGAATTCTTTTCGTGTCCTCGAGAGTTATTCCGCGTAAATAATTTTTAACCTACCGTTGGTTTGAATATTTCCCCTGGCTATCAAGGACACCTGTTCAAAACCAAACCCTGGCCGTCGAAAATTTGTCGGGTATCCTGAGCCGTGAATTAGTTCTGATGGTCTGTCGTGTGCAAACTGCCCATTGCCACTTGAAACCAAAGCCATGGAAGCTCGCCCTAAGCATGGCTTGACATCCGTAGTCTTTCGTTCGTCCTTTCGGCTTAGCAATGATTCGATTGTGAACGAGGGCCTTCGAACCTCCTCATCAGGAACTTGAGGGGACAACTCGTTCCGATTCGTATCACGAGAGATACAATTTTCACAAGAACACTGCTGGCAGTCAGACCAATAAATGGGCATAATGTGATTCGAAGTCACGTTTCTATACGGTTGCATTATTTCCAGTTTGGGTTTTTCCCGGGCAATAGTACGCGAGTGACTTTGTTTTGTTCAGCTTTGACTTTACAGTGAATTTTAACCCGCGCTCCCTTTCAATGATTTTCACCTTCCCAAATGAGTAATCCGTATATACCCCCTCGCAACATTATTAAATATTGTGCGCACTTTATGGGGAAATGATACAATTCATGATTCATTTTAATCTAATTAATCTGTAGGCATGCTGGTTTATGAAATACTTCAGAGGAAATCGTTTGTAATTACCTGCGCCCCTGTCAAATTACGCGCCCGTTAATGTGATAAGAATTGAGGAAAAAATACGACATCGTTGGTAAAGACTAATAGCAACATGTATGAAAAAAATAACCAAAAATATCTCAGTTGAGGTTACATTCCCGTTTGCGCTGCAAAGATTCAGCATTTTAAGAACGATATGATCGCTTATCGTCGTATGGGGTACTAATGTGAGGTCCTAATTAAAAACGAACAAAATAGAAAACTTGAAAGTTAGTGACAGCACCCCCTTATCAATCGACCGACTTTGAATTGAAAAAAAAAACCCAACGGAAGAAACTTTGTCAAAGATTCTTTTTTCATTTTATTGATATAGAATGTTAACTAAGAAATTTCTCTTGGTTTGGTTAATTTTGTAATATTTATCTTAAGTCTGATATTTCAATGACACACAATTTACGAGTTTCAGCGTCCGATCAGAGGCAAAAATTCACTCGCTTTACATTGGTAATCTTTTATTATGTTTAAATCGCCGGTAGGTAGTAAATTAATCTAAACCGCAGGTTGTACGAAAACTTAATAAAAGCTTTCCTATTTAAGTACAGAGGAAGAACTTTCAATTACTTCGTTAACGAGTTTGTTTACATCAGAACAAAAATTGTACAGCTGAAAAAAAAACAACAAATCAATTAAATATATTTCTTTTTTGCTTCGGAAAACAAATTAACCGATTAAAGTTTGTTCGGGGAACGATAGTCAATACCTATGGGGAGTATTGGCAATAACAATAACAAAATTCGGTTTCTTTAATTTCAAAAAAAAAAACGATTTTCGTTCTCGTGACTAAAAGAAATGAAACATTGTCGAATTTTTGTTTATGGTAACTATCGATAATTTTAACTATTATGTAAATGTGGCTATTTCACAATTTATTAGTCAGACGAACATTAGTAGAAATTATAAATTTTATTATTGATTTTTTTTTTATAATGAGCACTATTTGCCTCAGATTTGAGGCCACTTGATTTTAATTAACACATGCGTTAACTGTTATCTGTTCTTGAAGGGCGCTTGAAATATAACTGATCAACAACCGGAACTTAAACATTTAATTGTTGTTAAGAAAATCATTCAGTAAACAGCAATAAGTAACGTGTTCTTTCGATTGCTGTTTGGCTAGTGTTTATCAGGGAAAAAGTCGTCGATGTGCAAATATTACCCAGTTATAAAAGAAAGGGTTTTGCAGATGGGAGAAGAAATCAATCAATCAATCAATCAATCAATCAATCAGTCAATCGATTCAATCGATGAAACGAAGAACGAACGAATTGGAAAGGTAATGTAACGAACGAACGAAAGAGCAAAAAAAAAAAAAAAAAAAAAAAAAAAAAAAAATAAAAAAAAAAAAAACGAAAGAACGAAAAAAAGAACGAACGAATGAATTAAACAAACGAACGACTGAACGAGCTAAAAAACTCAACTGAAGACGAATGAATAATCAAAAGCACAAAGGTACGAACAAACGATCCCTGAAAGAACTAAAAAGCAAACGGACGAACGAACGAACGATAGAACGAACTGAGCAACGAACGAAACAACAAAAGAACGAAGATGGGAAATGACGAGCAAAAGAACGAAAGAACGAACGAATCAGGAAGAACGAACGGCAAGACAGAAAAAGAGCAAATGTTCAAAAGAACAAGCAAACGAAAGGACGAACGAGTAATACCGAGCCCAGACGACAGTGTCGAGCCCCCCTGAATTCAAAACGACCTATATTTTACTGACTATCTGTACATAACCAATGTGTGCGATAATGTTAGCTAATGTTTAGCTTGTCGATTTAATTCAAAGGCCTTTGTAAGTTAGTTTCAACTCTAACTCCAAAAAGACCCATATTTTACTAGCCATGCACATAAACAACGCGTGCGATAAATATTTAGCCTTTCCATTTAAATTAAGGAAAAGGTCTTGGCAATTTAGTTTATAGTCCCCTAGAACTCAAAAAAATTCGGAATCTGAGTATATGCAGATCAAAACTGATTAAACTATGCGCAGCTCGGTGTCAAGCAATCAAAACTACGAGATGGTGAGTTTTCTTTGAGTTACACAAGCGTACTCGAAAAAGAAAACAAGAGTTCAACAGCTAACCTTCTGGCTTCTAGACCAGATGCTCTACCACTGATGAACTGCAGATAACTTGCAACATATAACGCCTTCCCGGAGGATAAGCGATGGAGGAAAGCTCATGTGAGAAGCATCCTGCGTACTGCTAACACTGCCGATAATGAGTACCCGAGGTTTTAGTCTGGCAAATAGGTGATTTTTCTGAAAGTGTCTTAATAGGCAAATCAAAAAATACAATGAAATTATATAATAAAATTTAAGAATGCATAACAGTCGTCATAACAATCGTCATAACAGTCGTCATAACAGTCGTCATAACAGTCGTCATAACAGTCGTCGCGTTTCTAAATAGATATGTAACTACCTATTTTGTGATCAAGATGCACACAGGAAAGAAGAAACCTATTCAAGTGCAACAGTCCAAATAACGCAAACTACGCGTACTGTCTAATTACTTGCGTGACTCAGTCAGTGCCAATCAGATTAATTCGTGAAATTAAATTTGCTATAGTTTTTATTACATGCTAAATCAAACAATCAATCAATCAATCATTGGAGCTATGTTGTTGCTATGTTAGGTTGAGTTCCCTTTTGCCATGAAGCGAAAATAAATAAGTCAATATTGCATATAAACGGATTTTAAGGGAGTACCCATCTTATCTTACCCAGATGCTTATTAGAAATGCAGACGTGAACGGAAGAACGAGCAGGCACGGTCAATTAAACCTTGTCTGCCCCTGATTCAAACGAGAGTCTGAGGGTGAAAGGTCTTTCTCAGCATCGACTAGCCGCCTCTTGAATATGATGCCTGCCCATATCAAAAACCAACCTAACCTTACACGCCTCAAAAAATCTATTTTTAAACATTTTGTGGACAGTTATAAGGAATTGGACCATTTTATCATGTAAACTTTTAATTTTCCTGTTTTAATTGTTAGACTTTAGTGTATCTCATATCTCACGTTTTTATATAATCATTGCATATTTGAGAATCACTTTCTGTATTTTTAATTTTAAACACGTAATCTTTTTACTCTGTAAATATATTTTTATGAGGGCCACTGGTTTTTCAGTGATTATACTGTTGTGTGCTACCCTCAATAAATAAAGTTGATTGTTGTTGTTGTTGTTATTATTATTATTATTATTATTATTATTATTATTGTCATCACGATCATTATTATTATGATGTTGTGTTTAAAAATAACCGTTTGGCTCTAGCTACCAAAATTCATGACAACTCTTGTCGCCACCAAAATGTCATTTTGGTAAACGCTGCCGCACTGAGAAATCCACACCTTTTGTTCCTAGCGAAACAACTTGAAATTAAAAATTAATTAAAAGATCTGCTGGTTTCCATGTTTGACACAGATTTGGCCTGCTCTGAGGCAGGATGACGGCTCTTTTGAAGTTTGATAAGGGTTGATAAATATGGCAAGGCCAATAATGAACTGTCCACACTTTTGGAATCGATGACAGGTATTCCTGCGACTGAAATAAGCAAAAATCTGCCTTGGCGGATTGGCACTAATCATTCTTCCTGACAAATACCTCACGAGTGCGTTATGGTCAAAAAGCCATTTTTGAAAGATTTAATAAAGCTGAGCAGTAAAGAGAATTTAATTTTGTTTACTAAGATATTTGTAGGATTAGGCTTCAGAAAACCTGAATGACCCTGTATAGCAGGTATTATGGATGAGTTGTGATAGTGCGTAATAGATCAATTTCGATATATTAAGATTCAGCCTAACACAACAGACCTCAGCACGAGGCTCTGGGGAATAAACCCCACAAACTCTGTAGTTATTTCTCAGAGCCTCGTACTGAGGTCTATTTTTTTAGGCTGAATTTTGATTTATCGAAATTGGTCTATTCGAGACAATCACGGATAAAAGTGTTAAAATGAGGAGAACACATAGCTGCCTTGCAGTGCTCCAAATGCGCTTTCCACAAACGTAACCTTTTAAATTCGATCTGTTCAGTTCAGGACGACAGGTTAAATATTTGCATTTTTGGGGTAATTAAGAGATAAACTTACGATATCTGATGTCCTATTATTCATCGACCGATAAAGGGTGTCAGGTTTGTTTTGGAAAGGACAGCAGAAGTTTTCTAGCCTTGAAAAGCTGTGCATTAGTTGCTGGTCCTTGTTAATTTATTCCTTCAGGTAAGAGGTTTTTCTATATTTAATTAATTCAGTGCTGCACAGTTCATAATTTTGAAATTCTAACTGAACTACACAGTTTTCAGTGTCATGTTTTCGGACCTGTTGGATGACTTGCAAATTATGCAATAGCCTGCATTCGTTCCTTTTAGTCAGAAGCATTCAGTCCCCATAGAGGCCAAATCTTAATTTTAGAAGAGGTTGAAGTTGATCGATTACTTGTCACTTTAACATAAATTAGGTTGTGGATTTTACGACGACTCTCCGCGACGTAACTGTTAATCTTTGTTGTAACCCGGGGGGAGAGGTAGTCCCTTATAAGGGCTATATAGGAATACGCGCGCCAAAGAGTGCAATGTTTTAGCCGTTTTGGTCAGAAATAAGGTATCGATTTTGGCAATTTTGGTCTCGAATACGGTATCGAATTTTTAGTCAGATCATAAATAGGGTAGGGAAAATCACAGATTTGGTCTTAAACAGGGTAAAGTTTTGGGAAGCGGGCCGCACAGTCCCACCCAAATTTTTTTAGAGTACCCCCCGGAGGTGGTACTGTCGGAAACAGTTGGTATATCCTTATGTCCTTCACGACTATAAGCCTTGACAGTGAACAACAAATATTCACTCACTAACTCCATCCTCCAACCTGATCTGTGAAATTGAGACTTATCAAAACGTGAATGGAAGTAATAGTTTATCAGCAGACCTGGGCTTCAATCTGGATTCCGTGACCAGTGGAATGGGATTATCGGATACGGCTAAGGGATATTTGATGGAGTGCAAAGGGCGACATGCCATCAATCAGAGCAAAACATGTCTTAAAGTAGTTATCGAGTTTTCTTTCTCGTCGCTCAATATTGCTAGCGTTACGACACAAAACCCACTAGTGAATTCAACACCACTGCGCACCTTGGAGCTATTGTTTTGATTTGTCGCCTGTGTTTTTATTTATAGCTACATTTGCCTCGAGCCTGAGATAATCCTTGTTTTATAGCTGGAGTTGAGTTGAATCTAGCACGCGTTCTTATTGTTTGATTTATATATGGTCACGTGGCAATCCTAACTTAATAGCTAATTCTGTAGTGGTCCCCGGACAGATTGCTCCGTTTCTAACTTTTTTTGTCCTGTTTAGGAGGGATGGCTACTAAAAGTGTGAGGTCTGAAGGCGAGAAGCGATCATACGAGTTTGACGACATTTTTGAACATGTGTCATCTTTTGGAAGATACCAGAAAATCTTGTACTTCTGTACTTGTTTGATGGTTTTCCCTGTAGCAAATCAGTTTTCCTTGCTAGTATTTGGTTTTGGTACTCCTGGCTTCCACTGTGTCACGCCAAATGTCACGTGTGATCCAAAGAAATGTTGTGACGGATGTACGTCATACGCGTTTGACGGACCATTTCATAGCACTGTGTCAGAGGTAAGTATAGTTTCAACAACAATCTTTCCACTACGAAACTAAACAGCATTTAAAAAAAGACGTCTTTTTTGTTTGCTTTCTTACTTGCTAGTGGAACCTAATATGTGACCGCGCATTCCTGGGCGCTACTATTCAGTCTTGTTTCTTCGCTGGAATGTTGGTTGGTTCAATTGTGACCGGGATTTTGTCCGACGCCTGGGGCCGAAAGAATTGCATTTTTATTTGCAACGCTGTCATGGTGAGTTAGTTTTGAGGGTGAACTACGAAAGTACACTGAATTAAAATGTAAACTTAACTTCTCACAGTGTATTGTATTGTGTTTTTCAGGTTGTTACAGGATTCAGTTCAGCGTTTGTTCATTCCATCCCTCTGTTTGCTGTTCTTCGGTTCATGGTTGGTTTTGGGCTGACGGGAGTTATGCTATCCCATTACATTTACCTCTTGGAGTTGGTTGGACCGAAAACAAGAACAGCTGCTGGCAATATGAGTTATTTTTACTACAATGGTTTTCAGATGTTGTTTGTCCTGATCGCTTATTTTGAACGTGATTGGAGAAATCTGCTAATGATTGTTACTCTGCCAGCAGTGTTGCTGTTTCCTTTTTGGAAGTAAGTAAATGAAACGCAGAATTCAAATCCCTGTAAAATGAAAGAACATCTTGTCTTGAGTGCCCATCGCAAAGTTAATTAGTTGCAAGAATATGCAATTTTGTTTCACTTTTTTATCACAGACTTCACACAAGTCTATTTCTCGAGTTTCAGGGTGGAATAGCAAAGCGAGCGCATTGAGCTGCGCAAAATATTTCTTGCAATACCAGCGTCACAAGATCGCTAGATCGTTCCTCGGTTCACTTAGAAACTCGCTCATTCACACGTTAGTTCGTTGACAAGTTGCCTTGTTCTCACGTTAGTTCGTTCACGCGTAAGCTAGTTCACACGTTAGGTCGTTCACCGGCACGTTACCTCGTTCACACGTTGCCTCGTTCACACGTTACCTCGGTCACACTTTACCTCGTTCACAAGTTACCTTGTTCACAAGTTACCTTGTTCACAAGTTACCTTGTTCACAAGTTACCTTGTTCACAAGTTACCTCGTTCACAAGTTACCTCATTTACACCATAGTTAGTTGCTGGCCCCTGTTAATTTATGTTTACACGTTAGCTCCTTCACTTAGTTTGTGGTCATTGCTCTTTTTAATAGCTTGACCAACCGAGACGGGACCATCGAAATGAATGTAAACACCAACAGCACTATCTCTTCTCTACTGACACCAAAGTACTCAATGTGTTATCGTGACTCAAGACGTTAACTTAGTTGAAAATATTACAAAAAAAACACTGAAGGTTTATACTTTCCATAGATGTATTCCAGAATCCCCTCGATGGCTCATTGCCCACGATCGTCTGGACGAAGCTCAATCTATCATCAAGCGTTTCGGAGTCAAAAAAGGCAAACCTGTAGACTCAGGGGAGTTAAGGGCGCTCTTGGAGAATGTAAGAAGAGACCAGTTAGAACGACAACGAGAAGAAAAGAAATACTCACCGATGGACTTGTTTCGCACTCCAAAGCTGAGAAAATGGACAGCAATCATCTGCTATCAGTGGTAGGAACATTACATGTGTTGTATTGTGCTTGCGTTTTAGTCTCGGTGGCATAGTTGGTAGAACATAGGGTTTGTGAAAACAAGAGAAGGTTCTTAGTATATAAATTTAAAATGCAGGCTGATTGAAAAACGGTTTAGGGTACCAGAACTCAGAATGTAAACTTAAAGAAGCTAAGTTCTACCGACTTGCTCGTGGCCTTCACCTTACAGTATTAGGAGCCCATCACTAGGAGCGTGGAACTACCCCATATTCCTGCCACGGCGTTTTCACGGACCGATCTATTATTAGTTTGAATTGACCGCGAGTTCAGATCCCCGCAGGAACCTCAGTGACCAATTACAAGCACGGACTTAAGTTTAACTGACATCATCATTTCACCGGAAGATTAAAAGAAAAACCGCCATATTTTCCTCATTGATGCGCGGTTATATAGACAGGAACTGACCTATTTCGTAGGAAAATAAGCCTAAAAATAGATCGGTGTGTGAAAATGCCGTGACATAGGCTTAGTATGGGAGTTGCACGCTCCTAGTGATGGACTCCTGACAGTATCTGGTAAACGATTATCCCGGACGTCTCCACTCTGAACAAGGAAAGTGAAAAGTATCTATCAAGTTTGTAATTTTCATTAGATCAACCCTCTTAAATGAAAAACTAAAACAAATGAAAGGGGTTACGTTGACCCAAACGCCAGGAAAACAAAGCGAAATTCTGCAGAATCGAGATATAAAAGTTATAATCGAACTGTCGAAGAAAATTCACCAACATGATTTCGTTACTACTGTTAAAGCCGCGGTGCATAAAATAATCTTGGACAATTCAACTAAGGACTAAAATTGTACATGAACCCTGATTTTGCAGGTTTGTCGTGGCACTCGTCAGTTTCGGGATGTTTATATTCATCTCTCAACTGGTTGGTAATCTTTACGTTAATTACACCGTAATGGAGATTATTACAGTCCTCAGGATACCAGTCACTTGGATCCTGTACTTAAAGTAAGGAAGGTTTTTTTTTTTTTTTTTTTTTTCTCAATTTTAAACTCTTGTGCAGTGGAACCCTGTTAATTCTGTCACCAACGGGCCACAAAAATCTGGCCGCATCAAATAAGAAAGTGACTGACTGAACTTTTGTTCGGTCCAGAATAAAGTGGGCGTAATAACGCCGGAAGTAACCGTATTAACGGGTGGTCGTAAGGCGGGGTTCCAATGTACATGCTAATGCGAATTAAGGCTTCTTCATCTGATAGAAGGTCATTTAATACGTAAATTGTCTTGTTTGTGTGTTTGTTTGTTTGTTGGCTTTTTCATTGTTTATTAGATTTGGCCGCCGTATTTGCCATAGCATCATCATGATCTTGGTTGGAGTCACGTTCTTACTGGTTTTACTGGTGCATAAAGGTAAAAAAAAAAAAAAAATTAAAAACTAGTTGACATTCCTATGTGTCAGATCGTTCGGTTATCGTATTTAATCAGTAGAACAAACATGTGGGAATACGTTTAAATTAAATTCCAAACTCGATCGAGTACAATCACCCCATTAGCTTCAATAGCTTGTGATTAACGAATGATCAGTGGTCAAGATAAATAAAACCAGAGATATAGTTGAAGTGCCATTAGGTCATTGGCGACTGAAATGATCTCGAGAAATGATCTCGAGAAATGGAAGAAATTTGAACGAATCCGTGTGCGGTATGAAATAGTATTTGTAGCATGAAAAGTGAGAGCTTATTTCAGACATCAAAACTTTGTTCAAGACCACTCGCACGCTCAAGGTCGTATCCAACACGTGGTAATACTCTTTGCTTTGTGAGATTATAATGCAGTGTTAATAGTGGAAAGGCATAATCGTTCAATGCGATGATGCATTATTTTTAGAATCCCCTGTGGCGACCACAGTACTGTCTCTCTTTGGATTCCTTCTGATTGACTGCACTTGGACAAGTATTTATCTGATGACTTCTGAACTTTTTCCGACCGTGCTGAGGTAGGTCCCCTGCTCTTTATCCCTACTTACCTCCTCCAGTTTCGTTATTTCCGGGCCCTGCTCTTGCTGCATCTCCTTCTCTTGCTTCTCCTCCTCTCTCTACTCTTCTTCTGTTTTCTATTCCTTCTTATTCTACTCCTTCTACTTCTTCTCCTCTGTTTTTCTCCTCTTGCGTAAATGGTCAGTGTCAAACCATTATCTTACAATGCTAGCTCCGGACTACGACTGCTCTATTTCTAAACACATTGAGGCAACGAATGGTACAGATATTATGATGTTGGCCAGGGAACTTAAACGGAAAACGACAGCCCTCGCAAGGTACAAAAAACATCTGACTTTTAATCATACGCTTAAAAGAGAGAACATTCTACCTCCGAGCCTGAAGTTCACTCCGCCTATCAGAAGTAAAGCAGGCTATAAAATCGCTAGAAATACAGACCTTAAGAACTTGAGACTGCGAATAACACAATGTCATCAGAGCATAGGAAATTTACAGACGAAGATACAAGAGCCTTCTGCAAAACCTTGAAGACCACCTTTCTCGTGAGGATATGCTCGCTCTCCAAAATGTTGTGAGGCAAACATCTGAGACAATTTCAGAAAGGTTAGCTGAAACGCACGGGAGAAAAATCAACGACCTAATAAGCAAAGAGACGCCACGATCGACCGTGGTTGACCAGGAGAAATTGGCCATCCAAACGGGATTTGACTCCTGTTGAGATTACGGCCCGCAAGAAAGGACTAAATTTCTCTACCACTCCAAAGAAAGTTCCTGTTTCAAAACTACTCTCCTCCATAGAAACGGGTATTCGCAGTCTGAGTCAATCAGCCAAGGACACGATACGTGTCTCAGTTGCTAACGCCTTGAAAACTTGCAAATTGCCCG